GATTCAGGAATGGTAGGACAGAATGACGCTGATCAATTTCTCGGTTCCGCGTCCGCCGATGGCCAGGACCTTCGGAAACCGAACCGATTTGCTACAGATTCTTTTGGGATTTATTTGTTTCGCGGGACACGTATCGAACTTCGATCGAAATCTATTTCTGGGCTTCCCAGAGTGCAGCTTTCGGGATGGATGATATTTTTTGATTCTTTTGGTCGTTTTGATGGGGTTGATATGATTTCGAGGGTGTTTAGTGATTTAGGTGGGAGTGTAGAATTAGGAGGCGATGAAATGAGATATTTGAATGTACGATTGAAGTTGTAATATGAGAATGTTGTAGTACAATGGAATTTTTTGTTTTTATTGCTTAATAATAGCATCTATGAATAGGAATGATTACTGTACCTTTCAGCTAATTGCAATACTGGTCAAGGCTGAACCTTTTAGGCACGGCTGAATTTTGCGCAAAATAATACTCGAATATACAGTGACTTTGAAAACTCTTGCAATGATTTGCTTGTTTGGATTTAAGGAGAAATATTTTAGGTGGGGCTTCTATGTCAACAGAGACTATTGTAAGAGTAGATTGTCAACAGTTAGAAAGTGACCTTAGTACGTAACAACATCTGTAACAAGCGATAATATTTCAGTCACAGTTTATTCGTCGATTGCAACAGTCTCGCTATGGGCTATTCTTCCCATTGTATTTTGAAATTGTCTATCAGATAAGTGTACGTTATATCAAATCAATGTCGCTTGCGTGTGTTATCACTGGAAATAAAGTGTTTTCGCATAGGAAAAAAATTGAGGAAGACCACGATGCCTTCTCGTAATAAAATACACAGTGTCATTCATCTATTTCAACGAAGTATGTATTTTTCAAAAGCGTTTATGCGATATCTTAAAAACTTTTAATCGATAATTCTAATAACATTACTTTAACTTGTCACGGAACATGTTAAGAACACAAGATAAATTATCATTTCATATATTGTTCAAAGTCTAATAACATTACTTTAACTTAGAACGAAGTATCTTTCAAAAGCGTTTATGCAATATCTTAAAAACTTTTAATCAATAATCCTAATCACTGCAACAGCTTCGAGAGTCACTTACAATACAACAAGCTATCTGCGTATTGTCGCAATAAACAAGAAAAGAGATTATTATCGAAGGGTAGCTATGGCGGTCTCGGTTTCACCGATCAGGTGCGCGCGCCACGAGGCCCACAGATTAGGAACGGCACTGGTGGGGGTTTGGGCCAGGAAAAACCGATGTCGCCCGTGGTATCGGTCGCGCATCGCAAATGAAGGCGGCTACTTTGGGCAAATCCGGATGAGAGTAGGGTTTATTCTCCTTCGGCGGAATAACGGCCGCTGATTGGTCGAGACGACTGTCCAGAAACACTACAAATTCGGAAGCAACCGTTGTAAGTTATCATTCGCAACGGAAACTTCGAGAAGTCATCAGTGCTTCCAAAGTCAACGTCAACGTCAACGTTTTTGAAGATCACGACAATGTCTTTCTTCCGCTTCGAAGACAACCAGAACATGGCCAACAGTGGTGTCCTGCCGTTGACACCCGAAAGCAACAAATCGCCGATATCCTCGTGCAGCTGGAACGATTATGGCTACCATCAGCCGATCGGTACCACGCTGACCAATTCATGGAGCAGCGATACGACTCGATGGATCGGAGAACCGATGCCCGGTCAGATGGAGAACAATCTGAAGACCGAGGAGTCGAGCCCGAGTTCCAGTGACAACTGTCAAGTATCCAGGCAAGGTAATGTCTATTACCTTTGATTCATAGATAATTCATAGATAAATTAAGCAACGAAGGATCATTTCAATATTTCACGTAGCAGCGCAGAGAATCATTTGTTCATAGACTACTGCATAACCCTTTGCACTAGAAAGTTTTTTAATAGGAATATTCAACATTTTCTGACGAGACATAGACGATAGTTTGAAACTAATTTAACGATAATTCATAGAGAAATTAAGCAACGAAGAATCATTTCAATATTTCACGTAACAGTGCAAAGTTCCATTTGTTCATAGACTACTACTTTAACCCTTTACACTAGAAAGTTTTCCAATGAAAATACTCAACATTTTCTGACGAGATATAGACGATAGTTTAATTCATAGATAATTCATAGATAAATTAAGCAACGAAGGATCACTTCAATATTTCACGTAGCATTGCAAAACTCCATTTGAATTATTAACCCTTTGCACTCGAGAGGTGACTCTCACCACTTGATTTCCTACAGTGAAGTTTGATATTTAATATTATACTTCATACAATGCATCAATCAGAGAAATATTGACGTAAACTAGCTTTCTCCATCAATCCACGTAAATTTCTCGTCGACTTAGTTCCACAAAATATCGTCTTCATCTCATCAGAAAATGAAATATTTCTAGTGAAAAACTTCAGAGTGCAAAGGGTTAAATATTCAACTTGATAGTTTCACTGTATCGAATCAAGTGACTGAGACCTCTCGAGTGCAAAGGGTTAATATTTCATTTATAATATCATTAGATATTATTGTAACATATTATGCTGTTTAAACAACATTTCCACTCGGAAGAACGCACGCCGGTTTCTTCGGGAATAAAGATTCCGAGCAGTTTATAAACAGCCCGATCGATAAAAAATGCGCCGGGGGACGGATGATAAATGTAAATCACTGCGGGGAAAAACGGGCGCGAGATTTTTAGCCGGCGGGGGTGGCCGGAATTACGCGACAATGTTAAACAAGAACGGCACCGCTGACGTCGTCACGGATTCTAGGTAAATAGACGGGCTCCCGTAGACATCATTGAATCAAGTTTGATTAACGAGCTGCCCATTTAGGAGACTTTAGTCTCGAGGGATTATAAAACGGCGCTCGGCCCGCTTGCTCGTCGATGCTCTACATAGGTTTACATAAAACAGAGTCACCGGATATGATGGACCGCTATCCTCGGGTCACCGTTGACGTGTTTATTGGTTCGCGAAATACGCGCCGATTCCCGTTGCATCGTTCGCGTTTTCGATATCCCGCTTCACCCTCGATAGTCAATTGTTCGCGAATTCTGAACTCTTCGAGATAGTAAATATAAATTTTCGATCCTCTGAATAACGGTTCATTTCAATTGAAATTTTAAACGAACACTTTAACACTGGAACTACCGAGCATTTGGAAAAATTCTAACAAATTATTTTCGGCTTCTTCATACTAGTATAGTATTTCATAGTATGCTATAATATTCAAGTGGAACTATTTATTTTCAAAATCATTTCGAATATTCAATGCTTCGAAGATATCAATAATTGCGAAACAGAAAAAAAAACAATTGTCGAAATATTCGATGGAAGATTAAACATAGTGATTGATAAGATTTAAGTTTTAACACTAGAACTATCGAAACAGTCATTTTGGTGGTTCTAAAACCTAAATCTTATCAATCACAATATTCAATCTTTTCCATCGAATATTTCGACAATTGGTTTCGTTTCTTTGTCAAGGAGATTTATTCAGAGTTACCCAGGATAGATTGCAATTTATTTCGTTTGTTAGGATTAGAATGGAATATTTCAATGAAACGTGCATTGAATCCAAGAAGAAATTCCTGCCACTTCGGTTCTAGGCTACAGTGTTTAGTCCTTCCGTTCGGATCGCTTAGAGCGTGAAAATCGAGGCTGACTGGTTCTATTTCCAAAGATAAGACGCGCATTGGAGCGGTTCCCTTGCCCTCGGGGCGTCGATACGTCCCGGAATACCACGGGAATCGCGCGGTTCGATCCGCGTGTCACAATATACGCCTTATCGCGCTCGAAATGGAGAAAAAATTGGAAAAGCGGACACGTGTCTGGTTACGTAGCCGAATTCCGATCCGTTGAATCGAGGATTCCTCAGTCGTTACGCTGAGTTTCACCCTCTCCTCCTTTTGTTACCCTGAGAAATTCTCTCCTTATTCTCAGCTTCGAAAGACGGGAGAATCCTTGAACGATTAACCATCAAAATATCGGAATCATCGTTTACCTAAACCTTCTGCAATAATCAATCCTCATTGACACTAGGTTTACGGGCATTTATTGTACACTTCAATTGATTCTCGTTTATTTAGATTGTGGAAACTGGAGGTTTGATAGTAGGTAATTGGGGTACGTGTCAGTGTGATCGCATCAATCAAAATCGGCGCGAACATTTAAAATAATATTTCTAAAATCCAATATGCGTCAATTTGACGCGTTCGGTAAACCTACTGTTAATAGACGCGATGAAACATCTACCCTAATAAGAAATATCTTATTCTTCTTAGTCTTCGTTTTCTCCATTTACCTGCAAGTTTGACCTTGAATGACCTTGAGTCATAGGTGCTTGAATTCGTCATCAAACGCACTATTCGACGGTGGATAAGAAAACGTGTCATTGCATTTAGAAAAAGAAAGTTGATCTTCACCTCACCTTGGAGTGTCACCAGAAATAAAAGTTCCACCACGCGATGTCCCTCTCGGTATCGAACAAATTTCGTCTAAATCATTTTCGCGTATAATCAATATTTTCGGAGATATTCGACTGTAACGCTTCACAATTTCCACCCTGTATTTACGGGAACGCGTGAATTTCATTTAGACCTCTTTACCGAACCGTCCTCCGCTTTCGATAAGTGTGAAATGAGAACGTTCGAATCGGTCGTTTTGACATGTATACTTAGTAGTTCAGCCGTTAAAGGACGCGTTCCGCAGATTATTCGATTTCCACGGTTTCCCCTCGTAAAAGTGTCGGCGCGTCGCAACAACATCATCGTAAACCCATTGAAAAGGAAATTTCCGCGCGCGACACCTCCCGGCCCGGCTCCTTAGCGGCCCTCTTTGTCCGATCCACGGCGCCGACGAATCATATTTCGTTGGAAATTCACGCCAAGACCATTTAATCCAATAACACGGCTCCAGTGGCCGGCCTTTGAGCCGCGCAGCGGGAACACAGGCCTCCTCGTGGGCCGACAAGTTTCCCACTGCGCGACCCTTGACACCTCCCTTCGACGCACCGGCGATTCCTCTTTCCAGGTGAAATTCCTCGTGGAAATTGCGATTTCACGTGCCGGATATTAGCTGATCGACGATTCGTCGAATCGGGAATCTTTCTTTTTTCTACTTTTGATTCGTGGAAATCGCTGTTGGAATTCTACGCGTAACCATCTGATCGTTCTCTTAGTGAAAAATAGCAAGAGAAGCGTCTGGTAGAATTATATTGTTGAATTAGGAATCATTTCTCTTTTCGGATCGAATGATTCATTGCAATAACTGCGATAAGGGAATTGAGAATATTTATGTGGATTGGAGTTGATAAATTTGGAACTTTGGTGGAAGCTCAATTAGAGAAGATCTGTTGTTTATTAACAGTTACCGAGAATTTAATACGATTCACACGTAATCTATAAAAATTGTAACAAAGGTTATGTCCAGTTTCTTCAGATATTCATTATAGTATTCAAGGGAAATTATTTATTTTCAAGATCGTTTCGAGTATTCAATACTTCGAAGATATCGCTAATTGACCAAACAGAGACCAGCCATTTTGACACCAGTCACAATAGCTCTAGTGTCAAAGGTTTCATTGGGATTTAACGAAATCGAACTACTAAAATTACAAGTGCTTTAGATGTAACCAATTTCTACATTCTCAAACGCTTCGAAACCAGTTTGTAGCTGTCTGGGTTTATAGACAGAACTCGGAAGTCCCCGTCACCTTCTATCATACAATCGCAGTGTTTACCAGTCGATAACCATTCACATCCATTCGCAGAACCGCAGAGGAAGCAGAACAACAAGAAACGCTGCCGTACTGCGTACACCAGTGCTCAGCTCGCGCAACTGGAAAAGGAATTCCAGAGCGCGCGCTACTTGTGCCGGCCTCGGAGGATCGAGATGGCGTTGACGCTCGGGCTGACCGAGCGCCAAATAAAAATCTGGTTCCAAAATCGTCGCATGAAGTACAAGAAGGAGCAGAATGCGACGAACGGGAATCCATCGAAAAACGGAGCCCGAAGAACGCCAACGAAAACGAACGTAAGAATTGAGCACCATTGTCTTATCATTCACCATAGCTTCACACTTTCACGTCCGGTCACAACGTGGTGCCATTTGCTTCCCGTTTATTATTTGCGGTGACCTCAACATGGTGCAATTGGAAATTACACATATTACACGTATCATTTAATAAAAACCAGCTAAGTTTATTATGTTGTAATGAATTTTATATTTTATATTTCTAATTTCTAATTATAATTATAATCTAATTTCTTTTAATGAACAACTTTGCAAAAAGTTCCGGCGACAGAGAAGAAAATTTCTGTGAACCGTGCGGACGTGAAAGTGTTAATGTTAACACTTTCATTAATTTGACACAGCAAAATTATAGAATTTGACATTTAACATTAAACTTTGCACAACGCACCGACATATGAAATATTAAAATAAAATAGCCTCTTTAATTTATGTACGATTTCTCGTTAAGTCAGTTTGAAAGAATGTTGGTACTTCATTAAAAAACCTTGAGTATTTCTAATGAGAAACTTCTGGAGTGCAAAGGGTTAATTTTTCAATATTTATCACCCACAGCCGACTCCACCGACTGCAAAGCTCCAGAACGAGGCCTGCCTGGAGCCCGTCATTGGTTCGAGCAACGTGCCAACGGTCCCATCGCTGCAGCACCAGGAACACGAGCAATATGGCGGCCAGGAGTACTCGCAAGCTGCAACGGTGACCAACAACACCGTGCAGCAGCAGAGCTTCGCGCCATGGGCCAACGAAACGTTCTTCGATCACCGAAGCAACGTTTGCCAGGGATCGCTGCAGCAAATTGCAAACCAGTTCCCCCAGCAACAGCAACAGGTTTGCAATTATCTGGGACATTGGGACGAACTGAACCAATATCCGCATCAGACGGACGGGTATGGGCTCCATTCGTACGATGCAGATATGAGCAATTGCGTGACCCTTAACCCAGAGACCTTCGCTGCGAATCTGGACAATAATCTGCTGGAAAATTTCAACGATTTATCCGGCTGCGCCAACTTCAATGCTTGGGCTTTTCAAAATTCCGACACGCAAAACACGGTCAACAGGAGTTTCGATGAAATCGTTCGTAGTAGCATCTCGTTAGATTATTTCTAAAGTTGATTTTTTTTTGTAAATTTTACGTAGATTCTTGTAATTTATTCTTTTTCGTAATATAGAGTTTCCCAAGTATCGAGGTTTGTGCATTCCGAGGAAAGCTCTTTTTCACGTGTACGTTTTTTATGGTACTTTTAGCTTTTTGGTTCATCGATATTGACATTCGCTTTTCAAACATTAAGTTTTGATATTGCAATAGATTGTTAGTGGGTCTAGCAGATTGTTGTGTCAGGAATGTTAATGGGTTATGTTCGCGTATCGCTCGGTCGCACAGTGGGAACCGTTAGGGGGTTAGTAATAATTGCACCGCGACGGTCGGTGAGCGCTTACGTCACCGAGGACTCCGTAATAGGTAATTTACAGCGAAACCACCGTAAGTTTGTCGGTTTTATCCTCGACGCGTATCGACGGCGTTGAGTCTTAAGTGACCGAGTCTTAATTGTCGCGTATCTGCATCTACGAATATCGTTAACGTCGCAGGAAATCACTCTGCAATTGCGTTTGCGAGTAATTCGAACCGGAAATGGAATTTTTCGATGTTAGTAGACAGAGTAGGATACTGTTGCGCTAATTATTTACACAATGTTCTTTATACAGTTCTGTTTACAATTATATACAAATGTTGCACAATGTAGTCTATGGTTCGATACGATTACTCGCTTGTCTTCGTTTACTCTGGCCAACTCCTTAGCGACCAGTTTATTTCAACCGCCTTCGGATCCTAAGGGTTGGTTCGGTCGTGCGTGCTGGAGGGACGAGTTCGATACATCGCGACAATACATTGGATTTGTAGTGGAATGCCAGAACATTAACACTTTGACTGCACGTCACCTGAATTCGGGTGACATTTTTTACAGAAACGTGGACATTAATTTTTTTCATGACGTATCGAACGAACCGAATTTTGATGAATATATAAGATATAAGAAAGAGAATGGAGCAATTATTAAGAAGAATCTTGATTTCTCAGTTTCTGGTTAATGGAGAAAACTGTTTCGAGTATATGGGAGTTTTAATAAGTGTTTACGTGGCAATCAAAGTGTTAAATTGATAGTAGAAGAACTGGACGATACAACTGTAATGTTTGCTAATTGCACTTGTCAGAAGAATCGATGAAGAAACATGCGACTAACTTCTATTTTTATAAATTTGAAAGATGTCTATCTCTAACAAGAGACGAAAATATTGTATTTGTGTATGTAATGTATATAGGTAAAATTGTATTATATTTGTATTATATATATTGTATGATATTCTAGTCATTTTCTATTTATATTTCTTATAATAAATACTATTATTATTGTACGTCTGTTTATATTTTACTCGACCAACTGTCCCAAAAACCTTTCACTCTCAGATTACATGGCAAGGCTAAAAAAGATTGATTAACCAACTTTGCAACGTTAATGGTCTATGTTTCACTGAAACTTAGCAAAAGAACAAAATTTTGGAATCTCCTCAACGTTAACGATCGAGGTCTTCCTAAAATGTAAAAAAAACAAAACTCTCCCAACCAGCATTCTCCATGTTACCAGTCTCAATAAAATCCAAATAATAATTCCAAATCCAACTTTCGCGACGCTAACGATCAAGGTCTCCGAAAAACCAAAAAAAAATAATCGTCCACGCCAGCTTTCGCGTTAACGGACGAGGTCGAAGGTCTCTCCGCTCCGGTCAGAAAGGAGAAGCAATTTCTTGCTCGCTAATGTCGTCGAAAATGAATTTTTCACGGCGGATACGGAAGTTGGTGCCGGGGCGTTGCGTTGGTACGGCCGCAAACTGTGACTACACTTGCCCCGCGCGCTCGTTCGTGCTACGTACACCTACACAGACGTACATAATACTGTACATACACACGCGGCGGGCCAGCATAGTCGTGCAAGACTTGCTACGTCACCGGCACTCGGATCCGCGTCTATCTGTCAGTTTCCAGTCTCAAACAAGATGGATGGCTGGCGAATGGAAATCATGGTTGAAACCCGACCCCACACCCCTGGAACCTTCCGTTCGGTGTGCACGTGTACGCGCGAGGGAGAAAGAGAGACGTATACGAAGGGGGAAAAGAGAAAGGGAGGAAGAGAGAGAGAGAGAGAAGGGGAGAGAGAGCCCCTCCATTCTGTTTGCGACCACCCTTATACCGAGAGACCCGCCGCCCCCGCGTTATTCCGCGCTTCGATCTCGTATCATCCCCTTTCGCGTCTTTTGTGCTTTAAAATACAAATACGCCGGGGAAAGTAGATCGCTTCGTCCTCGCTCGAGCGGTTTTTTCTTTAACAGTCGAACGGAACGGTGTTCGCCAATATCCTTTCGCGGTTTCTGGAAGGAACGGTTTTGTTGTGTTCCATTGTTTGTTTTCGTGTGCGATTGTAGTTTAGTTATTTTGGGAATGTAGATTGGTTTTTGTTGGTTTTGAGATTGTTTGATAGGCAGAGTAGTGATTAAGGTTCAGTTGTGTACTTGCTTGAGATTCTTGGTTCTTGGGAGTTGGATGGTCTTTGGAGAAATTGGAAATTTATGGTTGTTCAATATTGTGTAGTTAATAGTACAATATAGTCTCCATTTTACTCGAGGAAAGATGAAACAATAGAACTTTCTTTTAACCCTTAGTACTCCAGGTTATTTTGTAATCTATCAGCAGCTGCTAATTTTTATAGTATTCCTAGCGAAAATGAGAAATGCAACATTTCTTCGATCTATTTTCCTTAGCACAAAATTTGGACATGTGGAAAATCGAATAATTTCATGGTAGTTTCCTTAAGATTCATTAAAATATTTAATATCACAACTGTTGCAATATTGGAGCCTACAGAGTTCAAAGGATTCAACCATTCCGAACTATATAACTGAAATATAGCTATAACAAATGAATAGCTAATTCGAAACTCCTTCGTACAGTTTCATCAAGCTTCGACGTTTCAAGGAATAAGGAAATATAGTAAATGACAGAAAGATGTTTCTCCGAGTTCCAAACAAAGAGTAAGTCGTGCCAACCGACAGACACTCGAACAGGAAGCTCTCGAGGAATATCGTTCGCGATTCCATCGGAACAGTCGGGTACAAGCGGCCACGATGTTGGGTAAACTTCCGCAAGACAGCGTTTGATCCTGGGTAGCCTGTCTCTGCCAATAAATACAATGGACTCCGGTATGGCCGCAGGATCTACAGCGGGATCTATGGGCATTTGAATCTGAATCAGACACTTCTCGCCATTCGCGTCTACCGCGAATACGATTCCGAAAGATTCCGGCCCGTGATCCCGGATGAATAATGGATGGATAATATTAAGAGAGGGCCGGCTGTTACTTGTATAAATGGTATATAATACAAGGTTTCCTTCCCGTTAGAGTTTCCTAAGGGGATCGAAGGGTTTCAGTCATTGGATCGAACGAAAGTTGTCTGAATTATTGCAGTCAGCTAACGGTATTTAAAATTGCAACGAATTATCGAAATTAATATTTATAAGCAATAGGAAATTGTAAACGTCTCAATGTTCTGAATATTCTGATAGTAATATCGTTAATGTATTTTTGATGCAATAATTGAATGTCGCATTAACTTGATAATAATACTATCATATTTCAATATTAATCATATTAATAACATCCTAATATTGCCCTGAAAAATTTAGGACCTACAGATAATTGTTACTCACCCGGAAATTGGGTCGAATCATTTCCTAATTTTTTCCTTATAAAACGAACATTCAGTATTTCAAGAATTTCTTTTGGTAATATCGAAGTTGAGTGTCTATTAATAAGAAATTTATGAGAAACTATGATATTTCTAAGCTCTACTAATTTTCCACTGTTAAATCTGAACCGATCCAATTCGTCTACCCGACTATTCGATCAAAACAATAACAAGCAACGTTCTCAATTCCCAACAATAACAAACAACATTCTCAATTCCCAATAATAACAAACAACATTCTCAATCTCCAGCAATAACACACAACATTCTCGTTGAAGTAAAACAACTCGGAAAACTCCACAAAAATAATTCGTCTGAGACGCGTTCGCTCTCGCGTTTCTTTGTTTCATTGTTCAGTTGTTAGAGACGCGTTTCTCGCCTCTGCTCGATAGTATAATGTATAATGTGTAATCTGCCATTCGTAAAATACATTCACCAACAATTCTCAAGCAAAAACACCGAAAAATTCCCTTAAACGTACAATCGAATCCGGCGAAGCCACGCCAGAGAAACGCAAATCGCTGGGAAACCCTCAGCCGCGAGACTCGGTGATAAACCCCGCAGCCCGGGGCGAGCGGAGAGTTTTAAATCGGTGCGCTCACGGCTGCCAGGCCATAAAAGCTAAACATTAGGAGCCGCGAAATTTATCGAGCACGCGCACCTTGCGCAGGCCCTTCCGCAGGCGAGAGGGCCCGACTTTTCTCCGGGCTAAACTGTAGAAAAATTGAAATGGGCGAGGTGAGAGAATGAATAAAGATCAGGAGGAAAGCACGGGGAAGCGGCGGCGGCGGCGGTGCACGCGGCACGTGAACCCGGCCGCGCCATGGGAGAGCGGCGAGGGCCGAGGGCCGTTGTGCACGCGAATGATATTAGGTAGAAACGCATGAACTTTGATATATTCGAAGGGGAACGCGAGGTCGGGGCGGAATTCTGAAGGAGGACGGGCTACGCCATTCCGCGGCAAGTATCCGAACTATACGTGACCCGCAATCCTTCTTCGGCTGCACCTTTTGCTGTGAAATCGATCGAGGAAATCGATGGTGTTCTATTTTCGCGGCCGCCCGGCGATCGGCTGCAATTTTTTCTCGATTTCGGATGCTCCGAATTGCTACTGTCGTTAAAGATATTCGGGAATTCTTGGGATTCGAACGTTAGCTCCGGATAGATTTAATTTTGTGGAGTTTCGGGGATCAACCCTTTGAACTCGAGAGGTGACTGTCAGTTGCCACTTGATTTGATGCAACGAAACTATGAAGTTGAATATTTAGTATTTTAAATTAACCTTTATAGGCTCGTGTGAGTTTGAAGTA